ATATATATATACTTTTATTTTGGTACCAAGATATAAGGACCCTGGCTCAAAAGCTAACCAAGGGCCCCGATTACAATCTTACAGCAATTTTTATAGTCAAGGGGTGGTCACATTCAGCCCTTTGCCCTTCCCCTAATAATGCATACATAACAGATAATATTGATTGGTTATTTGGATCTCAGCCCCCTACATAGCTAAATGTCGCATCACCTGTGTTTCACCCCAGGTCACGGGTATCTTGCAAAATGTCCTAGTTTCATGTGCCAACTATGTGGTTTTGGGGTTTTTTTCTTATAAGCAGGCTATTCTTGTTCCTAATATCCTGGCTAGTGGTTTCAGGTGTTAACTTCTGCCTAGCTAAGAATGTGCAGTTCCAACCCCTTTCCTATTTCAGAGCAGCTCAAGGTAGCTCCCCCGCTCCCCGTGACCCCCCTCCTTCCACAGAGAAAAGTAAAAGCAGTTTAAATCTTTGTCTGAGGCGGCACCCCCCACCCCTGCGACCTCCCTCCTTCTGTAGAGAGGGAGAAGGCAGAAAGGAGCAAGGCTGCCCAAGGCAAAGAAATGAAGACAAGAGAAAATGTTTTATCAGAATTCATATTCCTCACTCTCATGTCCATTCCATCCATACCTGGATCATATCTCTACATATGACCCTTCCTCTGATCCCCAGGGCCTCCTCTGCACATACATCCCATCGTCTGATCTTTCACTTCCTTATTTTAGCTTGTCTTCAGCAGCCTTCTTCCTTGTTGTTTAACAATGAAGAATTCCCAAAATGGTGCAGATTTTCAAAAAAGAATAACAGGCTGTAGCTAAAGAGAGCCTCTTTTAGTTTAATAAAGATTAATAGTCCTTACAAATGATTAAGAAATGAAAGGCACAACTTACTGTCTGTTTGAAAAATAAATTCCAAAACAGTTGCTTCTTGAATAATGAATTGATTGCAGCCCTACCCCCCAGCTGCTGTCATGCAGGCTACTTTGAAGCACAGCTCCTCCCATTATGCCAACACAGCCCATGTTGCCTGTTTTCCTTCACAAACCACTAACCACAATTAAACCATGTTGTACAACTTTTCTGGCTCTGCTGCAAGCTCCCACTGGGTTTGTCTTCTGTCTAGGCTCTCCAGTCACTCTGACCTTCTCTCTGTTCTGCGCCCATAACCTGTCAGAGTGTTTGCAGCATGACTACTATTGTGAGACAACCCAGGAGCAAAACACAGGACACAGAGGCTTTTGTCTTTTAACAGTGGTTTATATACAAGACTGCTATATACATACATACACGTGTTAGGCACATACCAGGCAAGCAATCTATCTTCAACTCTACACTGAGAACTACAATGGAGATAGAACACGAGGAGAGAGAGAGACGTCCTGTCATGGCTGCCTTTATATAGACAGCTTTTTAAAGTGGCAATACACATGCTGGCTCATCCTCAGTTCATCATCTTGGCTTACAACCTTACAGCAGATGGTCAGCTATTAAAGTATTTTCCTGACAGAGAGAGAGAGAGAGACAGAGAGGGGGGAGAGAGAGATACAGAGAGAGGGGGAGATACAGAGGGATGGAGAGAGAGAGAGAGACATAGAGAGATACAGACAGAGAGGGGGAGAGAGCGGAAGGGGGAGAGAGATACAGAGAGGGGGGAGAGGGGGAGAGACACGGAGAGAGAGAAAGAAGGGTTTTGTGGTTCCCGGTTCTCTGCCCTAATGACTGGCTGGGTAGGTGTGGCTAGGGGGTCATGTGACTGGGTGGTTTTTTTTATTGTGGGAAACGGGGCCAAATGGCTCTTTGAGTGTTTAAGGTTGCAGACCCCTGCTCTAACCCATGGGTATCAAACTCGCAGGCCGAATGCGTGACTCACTGGCCATGCCCAACCCCGGTTTAGCGAAGGGGAAAAAAGTTGTGATACATCGATGACATGTTGTCATGAGTTTGACATCTCTGCTCTAACCCAAGAGAGTCATATAAACTAAAGGAATGCCAGTTCCTTCTGTTGGTAAGTTGAAAAAGCTACAGTCCATTGTTGAAAGCCAAATCGGAATTTTTAAATAATGTTTTTTGCATATTTTTTCCAATTAGTTAATAATGAATCTCTAATAAGGTGTCTATGAAAATACGACTGTTTAGTTTTCCCCTCAACAGTGGAGGCAATGGTTCATCCCAACAATTTGGATATAACAAAAACGACTAAATATAAAGATTTATTAGACCCTCTAGGAAAATTAAGAACTCGACAGGATTTACAGGAACAGGGATTTAAAATTGACCAGTGGTTATATATACAAATCCATAGCAGATACAAACAAGATATCAAAGAGTTTGGAATCTATAGCAAATTACAATATTTAGATAAAATCTTATTAGGATCAAATAAAAAGAATATCTCCAAATTTTATAAATATTTATTGGAGGTAGAATTAGAGCAAGAGATAGTGAAAGGGAACATGATAACGTGGAGTAGGAATATTGGAAGAAGCATTACATTAACAGATTGGGAAAAGATCTGGAATAGAAACATCAAGATTACGAAATCGGCGGCGTACAAAGAAAATATGTATAAAATGTTATATAGATGGCACTTACCCCCTTCGAGGTTGGCGAAGATGAACCCTAACATGAGCTCAAGGTGTTGGAAATGCAAAAGCACTGAAGGAACATTTTTCCACACGTGGTGGTCTTGTAAAACTACCCCAAAATTTTGGCAAAAAATCAGAAAATGGTTGGAGGAGATAACTAAAGAACAAATAGACTATAAACCAGAGTTCTTCCTGTTAGGGATCTCTGATAGATATTTATCCAAAAAGACAAAATACATAATAATCCATATTCTAACTGTGGCTAGATTAGCGTTTGCTCAATGTTGGAAATCACCTCATACACCTTCAGAGCAAATGGTTATTCAGAAAATTTGTGAGTGTGCTGAAATGGATAAACTAACGATAGCGTTAAAAAACAAAGAGTCCTCAACATTTTACGACAACTGGGACTCATGGTATAATTGGCTTACATAGAGACAAATTATGTAAATGATAAAAAGTAACTTAAACATAATGGAAAAGAGGAGTAGATTGGATATGACGAAGAGAAATGATCCTTACAGACTGTCACAAAAAGATATCATTCGTTTTTAATTGTATTTAATTGTATTTTCTACCCTATTCTCCCTCCCCTTCCCTTCCCCTCTCTCCCTCTATATCTTTTCTCTTCCCCCCAACCGGCCTTTATCCGGTGTGTTAGGCCGGGTGTTTTCCTTCTTTCCCCCTAGCTGTTCTCTTTCTATTTTGTAAATGTATTGTCGATGTGTTTTTAAATTGTAAATTCAATAAAATCTATTTTAAAAAAAAAGAAAAAGCTACAGTCCAGGGGAAAACCCTTCAGGGATCCCCTGGGTGTGTTGTCGGTTGGCCATCTTTTCACTGGAAGTTCAAGGTCAGGTGAAGTGTTAATATCACATTATAATGCTTTGGTAAGATCACACTTGGAATACTGCATCCAGTTTCAGTTGCCACAATGTAAAAAAGATTTTGAGACTCTAGAAAGAGTACAGAGAAGAGCAGCAGAAATGATTAGGGGATTGGAGGCTAAAACATATAAAGAACTGGGAATTGGGTATGTCTATTTAATGAAAAGGACTGGGGTGACATGATAGCAGTGTTCCAATATCTAAGGGGCTGCCACAAGGAAGAGGGGGTCAACCTATTCCACAAAGCACCTGAAGGCAGGACAAGAAGCAATGGATGGAAACTAATCAAGGAGAGAACCAACCTAGAACTACAGATAAATTTTCTGACGGAACAATTAATCAGTGGAACAACTTGCCTCCAGAAGTTGTGCGTGATCCAACATTGGAAGTTTTTAAGAAGAGTTTGAACAAATTATTTGTCTGAAATGGTATAGGGCTTCCTACCTCAGCAAGGGGTTGGACTAGTAGACCTCCAAGGTCCCTTCCAACTCTGTTGTTGCTGTTGTTATCTCAGCTAGTTGTGGCTTACTGTACAAATTATTAAGGAGGTTGAAACACATATTACTATACTATACATTTTACTGAGACATTTATCTGTTGGGGTACAATCTACTTTGTACCCCCTAGTAGATAAATTCCCTGGGAGGCCAAGTAAATTTTATATGAACCTTCTCTTTTTGGATTTAAAGACATTAAGTATGCAGTAGCTAAATTTTATATTGCTGCAATGAAAGCAAGATATAATTGGTGAAAGACATACTTTTGTTTTAAAATACTATTTGATACATCTTAACTATTAACTGTAGGGAATATATGGTTTTTATTTTTTTATATATCAGTGTTTTAGATTTATCACCTAGATAAGAACTGTATTAATACAGTAATAGGGGAGTGAATGTTATATTCTGTGATTTATTTTGCTAGCTATTAGTATATTATTATATTTATTTGCTTCACTCTGTTTTTCTTTTGTTCTTTTAAATTTTGCTGGTCATTGACTGAATATACTGATTGATTGATTGATGCTCTACAAATTATGGCACAAATACAGTCATAGAGCCAATGGTAGTATTGAACTGTGCCTTTTCTCATTAGAATTTAAACCTACCCTTAAAGTTCTTTTTATCCAACAGACTGAAATCTTAACTATAAAATATCCTATCCTTTATTCTGTTGCCGCATGATACTTATTTTCCAAAAAGATTAAATTTGCTATATGTTAATCCTATTAAAATGGGTGTTTCTGTGTTCCTTTTATTGAAAGAATTATATTGAGTTTAGTTTGAACACATGTATACTACCTTCACTATCTTGGCCATCCAAACTGCTATATAGATAATTGAAGTAGTTCAAACTTGTCAAATTGAATAAGTAGCAATATGTTTACATTTCAGCAGTGGAGATGTAATCCATATGCAAGCACAGATTTTAGAAGCAAGATGTTCTTCCTTAAAGCAACAAGTTGTTGATAAGTTTGGCATCATTTACATGTGTGTGAAAGGAGAAAAAAAACACTTTCTTTTTCTTGCAGGAGAATGTAGAGGCAGTGTCCACATTTTCATTAAATATGAATTTCAGCAGTAAACGAACAAAATTTAAAATCACTACTTCAATGCAAAAAGACACCCCACAGGCAAGTATTATTAATGTCATTAACAAGACATAGCTGTATTCCATGAGGGGTATAACACCAAATAACATCTCTTTTGAGTCAAGCTCACCTCCTGGACATTTCTGTACAGTTTTCTTGGCATTCTTTTCTTCCAAAATATTTTATGGTCTTCCAAGGCTAGTCTATATAGTCCTTCCTTGTCCCAGTACTAACCAGTTCTGACATTCTGACAGCTGAACCCAGACAAGAGACTTAGTGTTGCCACTTACTGAAACATAAAACTAAAACTTGAAAACAGTGGAGTCTGAAATTAACAATTTGTAAGGATATTTTAATATGGGAAACAGCACTTTTTGACATTGCCCTGTGTAGTGGCATTGTCTTAACTATGGGCTGGATCTCCAGTTAACTATATTTAGAGCAGGCACATTGAAATCATGAATAATAACAAGCTCCATTGCTTTCAGCAGGCCTGCTTTAAAAACTAACTCAAACATTTACTAATAATACCAGAAATAAATAATTAAAAAGCAGCTTGTTTAATACTTTTACCTAACTAGTTTTTCTGATTTTTAAATTTTCATATTTCCAAAGGTTTGGAGAAATTAAAGAAGAATTTAGGATTTTTTTCAGTGATTAGACAATCCAATCCAATTAAGTATCAAGACTCAAAATGAGAAGGGAAAATACATTTTAGATAGGAGAATCAGAAGTATTTCTAAATGTGTGTCTTTTTGAAATTAACCATAAAAAATGAACAAAAACATTTTCTGATTTATTGCTGCTTGGTTCTTTTTCATTTCAATCTGGTGAAAACTACCTATTCTCTAATCTTTGACATAACTTTAAATCTTTTTTTGGAAATGCAACCCTATGCATTTTCAGTGCAAGGTAAGATCCATTTACCATTTCTAGACATCCCAGGGAACCAGAATTTTGGATTGCTTATAAGTGAGGAACATGGTGGTTTCTGCTACCTGTGGATGTGGCTAGTAAATTGAGACAGCTTTATCTACTTATTTTGTATTTATTTCATTTTTTACCAGTCTAGCCTATATGAACAGTGTTCAGTGTCCACATATTCAGTGCGATTTGTCCCCCAATAAGATAATGACATCAGTACTTCATCCGTATTGCATTTATTTTCTTTATAGGTAGTCCTCAACTTACAACAGTTCAATTTAGTGACCATTCAAAGTTACAAAGTCACTGAAAAAAGTGACTTATGACCATTTTTGACACTTATGACCGTTGCAGCATCCCCATGGTCATGTGATTTACATTCAGATGCTTAGCAACTGGTTCATATTTATGAAGGTAGCAGTGTCCCAGGGTCATGTGATCACCTTTTGTGACCTGACAAGCGAAGTCAGTGGGGAAGCAAGATTCATTTAACAACCATGTTAGTAACTAAACAACTGCAGTGATTCACCTAACAACTGTGGCAAGGTCATAAAATGGGGCAAAACCCATTTAACAACTGTCTTACTTAGCAACAGAAATTTGGAGCTCAAGTGTGGTCATAAATTGAGGACTACCTGTACTGACTGTTTTTTGTTGTTCAGAACATCTCAGATTTGCTTCCACATATTTTAAGTTATCTTTATCATTTTCTTTAACTTGTAAGGGGTATGTGCCCCTCAACATTTATTTTGTATTTCATTTATTTATTTGTATACTTATGCCTTGGGCATATTCTAAACTGGTAACACTGTTCAAGATCTTACTGGATTATTACCAATAATTATTTTACGACCATCCTCTAAAATTACTTTTATTAACCAATGCCTTCTTTTTGGAAATGCTAGCCAAAATGTGTTGCCTACTATATTATATACTGTTAGGAATCTGTCGACCAATTAGTTGGGTTGGCAATATTTAAACCAACAATGTATGTTTGTAGCTTTTAGACAAAGTTACTGTATTGATTTGTACTATGTTCTAATTGGTTGATGGTATTGTGAATTGCCATAAGAGGGAGTTAGAGATCATGGCTTGTTCTTTCTGACATTCTGTATCTCTGACATTCTGTATCTCTAACATTCTGTTGCTATCTCAGTTTGACTCTGAGACTCTGTTGTATTTATACTGTGCTTATACTTTGATATTTTTGTTTACTGGAAATGACAAAGGCACCCAGTAAGAAGACTTTGTAATTGGATATTCTTTGGACTGTAAAACGTATATGACCTGGACTGTTTATTGGACTGTGCTATTTCTTAAAGTAAACTTTAACTCAATTCAGTGTAGCTGTGTGTGGCTGAATAATTATTCATAACTACTCTCATAAACGTTTCCATGTGCATATCCTTGTTACTCAAGGGTTATTCTGTACATATCATAACATATACCATATTTATGTTCAAATATTTTTTATTTTTTGTTCAAATAATGTTGTTGTCCTGTTGGAAACACTTTCTGAATCTGAGCTTTCACTTTAATTTTCTTAATTCCAAATGTAGTTATTGCATTACTTGTATAAAAATATGCCTTTTAGGAAGCCATTATTAACTGAGGTTGGCTGAGAATTCCTGCTTCACAGGATCACTTGCTGTCTCATTGGTCCTGTACAGCAACAGTCTTGGCTACTTCAGCAGGTTAATAATGATTACAGCTTCAAAAGTATAAAATAAACTTGGAATGTCATTCCATTCAGCCATATGTTTTAGGAAATATCTAGACCAGCAAAGAATTAATGCATCTTGAACTTCAATTTCATAATAAGTATCACATGTATATATTACTCCACTGATTTGATAAGAGTTGTTGGCAAAGCAGTTCTAAATGTACTAGTTAGATAGTAAGCTTCTCTATGCATATTGAAATTACTCAAAGTTTTTAAAGGTGTCTAACCATGTTTTCTCAAAAGTATTTTTTGCGTTTCAATGTACATGGGAAAAACAATTTAGTTCATTCCTTAAAATACAGCAGTTTATACAGTGCCTTATTTCACATTCTAAAAAAGTATTTTGTTGATTTCATATCAGATCGTATAATTTAAATAACACAAAAATAAGTGTTGTACTTCCTTACATTTGTTTAAGATCTTAAAACTATCAATTCTTTTTCATCTTTAATGGCAGTTCCATAATATTCAATTTTTATTTGTGTCTGGAGTTTTTCCTTTGTACATGGTTCTGATTAAAAGAAGATGAGCTGAACTGAATCTGGCTAGTGGTTCATTTAGTTCAGCATTCTCTTTTCCATCCTGCCCTAATATTCCCAGGAGGTAGACACAAAATAGTAACTCTCTATTGTAGTTGCATGCAGCAGCCTGGTATTCAGTGACATATCTCCTTTGAACCTGAGGTTTATACAGAGCTGTTATGAAAATAATAAAAGATGTTCTCAATGGTGATTTTGTTCACCACAGAGAGGAAGGAAGACTTTTTAGTGCTCTGCTTCTATACTACTGTACATTATTTGGACTTCTACCACAAAATTTAGGAATATTCAGTGAATCTAGCATTTATATAAAAACATAGCCATAGCTTGTGTGATGTTCTCCACTACAGATAGTCCTTGACTTAGTGACCATTTAAAGTTACAATGGCACTGAAAAAAGTAACTTATGACCATTTTTCACAGTTACGACCTTTGCAATATCCCCATGGTCACATAATCAAAATGTAGATGTTTGGCAATTTATGATGGTTTTATGATGGTTGCTATGTCCCAGAGTCAGGTGATCACCTTTTGAAATCTTCTGACAAGCAAATCAATGTGGAAGCATTCACTTAACAACTGTGACAAAATTGTTGTAAAATGGGGCAAAACTCACTTAACAAATGGCTCACTTAACAACAGAAATTTTGAACTCAATTGTGGTCGTAAGTCGAGGAGTACCTGTATAATAATAGGTAAGAGATGTATTCAAAATCTGTATCATGTTGCCTAGATTTGGGCAACATGGAAAGCCAAATCACAATATAGCTGGTGTGTTGTCCCAATGAAATTACTGTAGAAGAGTTGCCTTACAGCAGGGCTGTCAAACTCCCAGCCCGCGGGCCAGATACGTCACGTGCTGGCCACACCTACGCCCAGTTTAACAAAGGGCAAAAAGTCCTGATATGTCACATGACGCTACCGTGACAATGTGAGTTTGACACCCCTGCCTTACAGGATCAAACCAAGTGTTGCCTACTCAAATCTATTTTTAGCTATCAGCCTCTTTGTTTAAACCTGTGTTTTTCAAAATTGGCAACTTTAACATGTGTGGTCTTCTCCATGCTGGCTGGGGAATTCTGGGAATTAAAGTCCACATATCTTAAAGTTGCCAAGTTTGAAAAAACACTGGTTTAAACTTTGCAAAATAGCTAAAGGAAAGGATTCCCATGGTCCCTCATTCATATTTCCTTTAGCTTCAAAGAGTGCCAGAGGATTCTCTTCTTCCATATAGTTTACTAAGAAAAGAATAGCTCTCATCTGGATGATGAAAGAATATGCCATTTGAATAGGCATCTGCACGTGATCATAGCTACTAACCCACTTAATTACATTGTCTTGTATTGCAGGAAATGGAGCAAACAAGAAGTGCTGTAGATGAAGATAGGAAAATGTACCTTCAAGCTGCAATTGTCCGCATCATGAAAGCACGAAAGTTATTGCGACACAATGCTCTCATTCAGGAGGTAAGATTATTTACTTCTTGGCATGTAAACATTTAGGAGAGCTTGTTAAATGGGATGGTTGGCTGGGCCAATCGAAATAAGATGGTTCTCCTGCGACAATTGAAATAAAGTGTGCCATGTTAAATGCTTGAACAGGTAGTCCTTGATTGATGACCGTAATGGAGCCTGGAATTTCCATCATAAGTCATGATGGTTGCACGCTGAGGCACCCAGGTGACCAGAAATAATTTTATAACTTTTGGCAGTCATTAAGCAAACACCAGTGTCATTAAGCAAATCAGTGTATTCTTATGGGCGATTTTTGCCAGAAACTGGCAAAAAAAGGTCATAAATCAGTCACGTGATCATGGAACATTGCAACTGGCTGTAAAAATGAGCCCATTTCCAAGTGCCCACAGAACTCCAAAACCAGGTCATAAGTAGCTTTTGGGGGGGATGGGGTTCTGTCATAATTTAAAATGGTTACTAAGAGATCAGTCATTAAGTGAGGACCACCTATAGTGGGTTACAAATACACACTTTATGATATGTAGTGTTGTGCTTGATATTCTTTAACTGCCAATTGACCAACTTCAATTATGTTGCCTTGCATCAGAAAGATTTTTGTGGCCCTTGAAATGGTCTTGTCTTAGGGGTTCTGTTTACGTGCAATTCTGAGCTTTTTCATGGAGACACATGGCATATTAGCATGCAGGTGTGAATTGTGTGATAGCATTTTTCATTTTCACAAAACTGCTCTTCCAGAAGTTGTGATCCTAAACATTGCTGCCTCTGCATGGGTCATGAACTTTCCTCCAAACTCTTCACTTGCTCCAAAAATACACAAACTGTCTTGCAATTCTGAGAAAATGAATCTGTGTTTTTCTTTAAAAAGATACCATTGGCTTGGTTTTGAAGGGTTTTTTTCCAACTTTTTAAAGAAATCAGCATTTACGTTAAGTTTTATCTTTCTTCTCTCCTTTGCACAGGTAATTAGCCAATCAAGAGCTAGGTTTAACCCAAGTATCAGCATGATTAAGAAGTGTATTGAAGTTCTGATAGACAAACAGTACATTGAACGGAGCCAGGCCTCAGCAGATGAGTACAGCTATGTAGCATGAGTTTAATATTTTGCAGATACAGCTGTAAGAAGGTAATTTCTGTCTCTGCTTTGTGTGTTCTGTGTGGTGAAAAGCAGATCTATGGTGCCTCCATAACTGGTCACTTGGCAACCCCTGTTTTTTCTGCTGTTTACAACATCATCAATGACATGTCATGAGCATCAATGAAGAAAAAAGCCTATCCTAACTTTATGTCATTATGACATTTCTTAAAACTTTACTAAAAGAGAATGAGTGAAGACTTGCTGAAATGTGGAAATTTTGGTTGGATACCATTCTTCCCCTTCCACCACTCCACCCTCCCACATTTGCAGTTGATGCCTTTTTAATGTACCTTAAAAGAAAAAAACAGATTAAATATTGTAATATGGCAGATGACATAATAATTGTATCTACACTGACATGTAAAAACAATGAACACAATACTACTGCTTATCAAATAAAAATGGAATATGTTGTGCAACCTGTTTTAATTTATAAACTAAATAGCTGTTTTCACTGCTAAGCATCCTTGTAGCTCATTCCTGTTTAGAAGTAAGCTTGGAAAAGGGATAATTCTGATAGGCTGGATACTGTTATACTTATCCATGAAACAATGGATCATTTGGATGTTTCCTCACTATGAATGTTTTTCCCTTAGAAGGCAAAAATAAGCTTTAAAAGCAGCCCATTGTGCCTTATGCTCCTTTCCACGTAGGGTGTCTGGGTGCCAACATAGGAAGAGAAGAACTGAAGGCTACTTCACAGTGTCTGTTTTCATTTATATGATTGCATTTTTGACAACTCAAATTGTGAAGAAAACTTATCATGAACCAGGCTGTCTAAATTCAAAGTGGGAGATGAATCAGCTTAATGAGTTTACACTAAAATTTCAAATACTTGAATTTTTAATGAAAATTCACCAAAGATATGCTTGATTTTGTGGCATTTAAATAATGTTGAATAATGTCCTGGCCCATAAGAATTAGAAGAGTCCCTGCCCATTCCAGAACCCAACCTTCTCTTCCTTTACTCTGCTCCTTTAGACAAAGTCTCTGTAATAATATTTCAGTCAATGAATTCCCTCTAATTTTTACACCTTCCTCATTTGTGAAGAATGAATAGATTCAAATTCTATTCCCTGTGGATCAGAAGGGGCTGCAGATTGGGGACTGCTGCAGAATGTGTGCACCGAGTGTGGAAGGCCAGTGGTGACACAGCAAAGAGCCAGGCTGAAATTGGAACTGTCACCCCATGAGGGCGACAAGCCAATGGGAGTTGGAGGCAATAATTGGCCCAAAGCCCAGAGAGTCAATGGGCCTCAGCAGAGAGGTAGGTAGCCCAGATCAGAGACCAGTGGGAGAGTGCAAGTGTTGTCGCCCGCCAGCAGCCAGCGGAGCTGGTGGCAGACTCAGACGATGAGGTTGGGGAGGAACTTGGGCCAGTTCTGGAATCTGGGGAAGGCTCTGATGGAAGCTCTGTGTCAGAAGCAGAGATAGGGCCAGGGCCGTCTGACATTTCCCAGCTGCCTTTGGAGTCGGAGATAAGTGGGGAAGAAGAACAGCTGGGGCCTGTTCCAGATGCGCGTATGTGCAGAGCTATCAGGAGAGGAGAACAACTGAGGAACAGGGGCTGACTCGGGAAGAAAGGCACACATGGACGCTGAATGGCCTCTCCCTGTGGAATAAATAGAAGCAAAAGGGGAGTGCTGGTTGCAGGAGACAACAGTTTGTATTTCTTTTGGAAGAGTTGCTTATCGTGGTTCATGCCTCAGAGATGTCTTGCCAGGAATTAATTTACAGCTTTGTGACTAGAAGCTCTCAGCCTGGCAATTATCCAAGGGCTGATAAGGTCTGTTCTTGCAATTAACCCTTGAAAGGATTATTGCCTGGACTTTTCTGTGTGTGAATGCCATGAATTCACAGTAACTAAATAAAGAGGGATTTTTCAGGACAAGGAGTCTGTTTCTTGGTTCTGCTAAGGCTGGGTCAGAACAGCAAGGCCCAGAGGCAGGAGACAGGTTTGGAGCCCTCTGCTAAGGTGGACCAGGGCCAGTGGCTTCAGAACACCCACTGGAGCTGGCAGCTGGGGTTGAAAACCAGGCCAGGGCTACAAACTCTGAAATTCCAACAAATATGGAGCCTAGAAGCTGGCAAAAACTACACCCCCTGAAGAGAACATTGTTGGCAACAGGCCCCCTCCAGGGCTGACAAGAAGTTGTTTATGGGAGATTTGGCAGATACAGGAGTCCAAGGACCCTGAGTTGACAGTGTTTTGACCCCTAGGGTGAGAGCATACAGTATACCTGTGATCTCCAGTGCTAGTCTAGTGCCTTATTTGCTAGAATACACTGTCTTGGAGGTTTCATAATGCAGTTGGATTTCTGTATCCCTGCATTTAAGATGGGGTCTTATTGATAGATCTGTGGGTAAGGAATGCACTTCCATATCTTGAGAGCATCCAACAAGTCTTACATAATTACAAAAGAAGAGCATTAGCTGCTACTTTTTATTTAAAAAGCATTTTTTTTAACTTTCTCTAATAGGATTCCTTCTCCTCTTGTCTTCCTTACTGTGATTTATATTTATTCCTAATGTAATATGCTGTCAGAGCTAGTAGCCTGGGAAGAGATTAGTTAAACTTGTATTGCTGTGACTCTTTTGGGGGGGGAAACTTCTTGTGTAAACTTACTATCTGAGCAATTGATGGAATCTATAAGGTATAATGGTTAAGGTGCTGAACTGAGACAAGTACACTCAAACCTGGAATTCAGTAGGTGGGGTAGTCCAGGCACTACTGCTCAGTCAGCTTTCCTCTCCAAGATTGTTACTTTATCCTCAAAAAGGCATCCTCTGCCATTTGCACTACTTAGAAGAAAACTAATTACAGTTAGACCTCAACTTACCACCACAATTGGGATCAGAAAATTCATTTAAAGTGTACAGCCATTAAGTGAGGTATCACATGATCACACCTGATTTTATGACCATTTTTGCCACTGTAGTTAAGTGAATCATTGTGGCCATTAAATGAGAAATCACAGGATTGCAATTTGCAACCTTTCCTGCTGGCTTCCCCATTGACTTTGCCTGTTGGAAGCCGGCTGTGAAGGTTGCAAATGATGATCACATGACCCTGGGATGCTGCTACCATCATAAATGCAAGCCAGTTGCCAAGAGCCCAGATCATGATTATATGACCATGGGGACACTGTGATGGTTGTAACAAGGACTGGGTAGAAGTAACTTTTTTCAGTGCTGTCATAACTTCAAATGGTCGCTAAACAGTCGGATGCGTCACGCGCTGGCCATGCCCATGCTTGGTTGAGTGAAGGGGGGGAAAGTCACAATATGTCACATGATGGCACTGTGATGACGCGAGGTTGACACCCCTGCTCTAAAACAACCCTGTACATAAGTTGTAAGCCTGTCTTCACTAACTTTGCTAAAAATTTGGGACTGAATTATGTGAAGGCAGGATCTCATTCCAACTCAACAGGACTACCAACCAATCTAAGGAGAAACATACTGTATATTCACATTTTGTTTTGAACTACCCAAATTGATACTGGAATGGATCCACTGTACAGGTTTCTCAGATCGCACTTAACAGAACATACTTTCTTTGTCTGTTTAACCCGAGATCTGGTCATAATTGTATGTTCCCCTTTGCATTGGCTTAGCACATTAATATTAACAGTAGCATCTCACAGAGCAGTCCAATTATCCAAGGAATTTCTGTTCCTCTTGTGAAAAATTAATTATATATAACACTACTTATGGTTAACAATAATCTGGACCCATCACTGATTGCAGGTCTGGATTTTTATATCAGTACAAAACTGCTGTCGCACTCTACCAAGAACTGGAACTTTTAATCAATAAACCAGGCTACTCACACTTTGTGAGAAGTACATAAAAATGAAACAACCAACTATTGATAATCTGATCCATAGGATGCTTTATTAGGTAAGATACTGCAGTACTGGACCCCTCACTCCAAAACCATGTTTAGGAGAAAAGGAGACACTTCCATTTAGTGAATACAGCTTATATAGGTTTATCAAATCACATGGTTACATAACACTTCCTGTTGTCCATATATAGAAGTTATACAACGTTTTCATAAGAATGTTCCAACCTTCCATGGAAAACTCCCAACATTCTCATTATAGTCAGATTTCCTGTTATTCAAATACCAGAAGATTATAAGAAAACCATTAATATCTCTTAATGTGATTTATGTCAGAGCACCCCAGCACATACCTCTAACTTATGCCAAGTACATAGTTTTGCAATCTTGTATAATTTCTAGCAGAAAACACATTACATAAATGTTCTGAGCTTCAAAAGTTCAGCCTGCGAACACAAAATGGCTTCAGTTCGGCTCTTCACATTCTCAGGTGTAATAACCAAATTTTCACCTATAACAAATCCACCGTTTTTCTTTTGTAACTAATTTACACCTGAGAATTTCCATCAGGCTCTCGCAACATAAGCCTAACTTCCTGCTTACTAAACATTTGAAGTTTTACTTCAGGTTTCTTAGCCTTACAACAGTGGAAACACAACTTACATATCACATTCTGTAAAAGAAGCATCATTACACACTGTTTTTCCTCTATATTTCTTCACATGTTCACCCACAGATTCATGTTCAGCATCTCATCATATAATTTAATTTCTTTGTTTATATCCTTAACATGAGCAGTTGCCATAAGAGTCATTAAACGACCAATTGCACACCCATTGTATTAACTGGTATAAATGCATATTCATATACTCCACAAAACATAAACCAACCTAAACACGTGTTGTAAATACAACACGTGTCATTCCACCTACATCTTCAATTTCCATACAATAAAAAAAAACTTTTTTAGTAGGCAAATAAGTATAAATTGTTTTGTCACCTGGATGTTTATACTTAATACAATCATAAGCTGGAAAACCTGTCAGCTTTTTCTGATTATTTTGTTGGCTTCACAGGAAATCCAAACAAAGTATCATCTTTGACAAATT